CGTTTATGTCAAACACTTGCAATCGGCCAGACTTTGTGCCCACGAGTACGTAACGATCGCCCGGAGCGTAGGCACAGCACAGGCCGTACTCCACGCCATCCGTGATTGTGGTCACGCATTTGCCGCTGGATTTGTTCCACACTTTTACCGCGTCGGCCGATACGGACACTATCTGGTAGTTGTCGGAACTGATGGCCACCGCTCGCACGTCCTTCCGGTGGCCCTGCAGTCGGAGTTGGCCGTAGAGTTCGGTGGCCGGCGATGACTGCGGTCGCAGCGAAAACAGTTCCACCGAATTGTCCATCAAAAGTATGGCCACTTTGAAGTCGGACTTAACGGCCACGACATCCACTGATTTCACTTTAGCCCCGCTGTCCGTACGGATCGGTTCCAGGCGTTCAATGGCGTCGGTTAGTGTCGGCTCAATCAGTGAGCTGTCCAGTGGGTGATCATCGATGGTGTCTGTATTGTCATCACCAGCGGTGGTCTCGTCGCTTTTGAGCTGTCGCTTTCGAGCGGCCTTTTTAGCACGTTTTCCGATAGACTTCTTCATCTCTTCATCCGTACGAAGTTTAAAGCACTCGACGTACGGATCCTTTGAGTGACAAATCAATAGCCGTTCCGTTTGATCCACGCATATGTCGGACAAGCGTTGAGTGCTTCGCCGCATAACAGTTCCAATACGCTCGACAATCAGCCGATCGGCGCCCGACTCGTCGTCGCCCACCTCGTCATCGATGTCGCCGTCATTATCGTCGCCAACGGCGGCCGCCTTCAGCTTAAGAGCGGCCAATTTGGCCACAAACTCGTCCGCGTCGTCCACGCGATGCACAATACGCCACACCCGGAGCTCACTATCGCCGGCGCCGGTAATCAACCGGCGGTCAGAGTCTGTCAGCGCGAAACTCCACACCTCCGAGCGGTGGCCGACGAGTGTCTTAAAGCAGTGCTGAGTCGACATATGCCAGAACTTGACGTACGTGTCCTTCGAGGCGGACACCAGCACCGGATGGTCTGTCATGAACTGGAGTTTAGTCACCGGTCCCTTATGGCCGCGCATACGCCACAGACCCGACTCAGTGGTCACGTCCCACACGACAATCTCCGTGTCTTTGCCACCGGAGGCCAGCTTAAGACCCACGGCGTCGAAACACAGGGCAGTGACGGGCGACTTGTGTCCGGCAAAAGTCACTCTCAGCTCACCGGTAGTCGCGTCCCACAGGCGTATAGTGCCGTCCGCGTGACCGCTGGCCACGAGTGGGCTATC